GGAGAATCCCAGAGTGAGGGACCTCCCAATTGAAGGTTTTCAGCTGAGACAATTTGCACATGTGATAGGCTGAGCCTGCCTGAGAGGACAAGAGAGAGGAGGGGGCTGTGAGACGGGGACCTAGAAGGAGCCAGAGACGGATTCCAGATCAATCATTCATCCATTTATTCAGCTACCCCTCAGACTTCAGTTTGCTAAGAGTGCTGCCTGAGGCCGCAGGGAATGTTGGGGCATAAGAGAGATCGAAGAAGCTTTATTTAATCAATAGCTATTCAAGTGCTAGGTGTCCCTCTGTCTCTCTTTCCCTCTGTGCGATACACACACACACACACACACACACACACACACACGCCTCCCTTATCTTTGATACTTACTTGTGCCTTAAATGTGCCTTATGTATGAACCCAGGACGACAGGAACCCCTTGTCCCGGGAGATGTTATATGTAGACTTATGAGATTGAAGTGAATGTGGGGAAAATACCTTTTTCAAAAAGCTCAAAATGGTTTCCTAAAAGTAAGCCACTGTTTTTAGGTTCACCCATCAGGAGAAAGAAATAGGGTTATATCCATTAGGAAAATCCATTTTATAGAGGTGCAATCACATCAAAATAAATGGACAGCCAAGATTAAAGGTATTATAAATCCTCACAGCAAAGCATTTTCTGAGTGCAGAGGAACCTGGTCCATCTGAGGATTAATGCTCCATGCTTCTGTGGTCAGAGGGTCAGAACTCACCAGAGAGGGGGAGAGAGAAAGCCTAGGTGTTTTATTATTTGGGGCAACAAAATTCAGGAATGTTTTGTTTGTTGTGGTGTGGTTTCCATAGTGGAGGGAAACAATATTTGGTGGTTGTTGGCTGAGGTGTTGGATGTTGTGCTAAATAAGTTTGCATCTTTTATAGATACAGAAAACAAAGGCAACTAGTTAATCACCATGAGGTGGGAGAGAACCCAGTGAGATGGAGTAGGTTGAGCACATTCCTTTTGGAGGGCTCTGTCTACGTTCAGGCTGTGGCAGGGAAGAGTTTCTGCCAGTGCGGTGGCCCTGCTGCGCCTGCTCATCTCTCCCTCTCCTGCAGAGTGTGCTCCAGATGTCTGTCTCCTCTCTTCCACATCCCATCCTCTGTGAGTTCCAGCTAGCAGCCTTTGCATTTGGGAAAAGGGAACCCGGGGGTTTCGGCTCTATTTCTCTGCTCTCATCCCTCGCTCACCAGCTGCGTGGAAAAATGAACTTTTTGCACTCGTGGTCTACACTGCTTAGAAAATCTCTCTTTTAGATAAAGTGCTTTATGAGTCTATGGAAAACACCAGCACTCTCTGCAAACTGTGAGTGACCCTTTTGGAACAATGGTGAGCAGACCCTGGGCTGTCATCATCAGTGAGCTTTAATGTCTGTTCTCACAGCGGGCTTTCCTCTCTCTTGTAGCAGGTTATATAGATCAGCAGTGTTTAAGTCCAAACACATTGTAAGTCTATTATCTGTCCTGTTGCATTATTTTTATGGTCTTTTATTCCCTATCCTACTAAGTAAATACCAAAAAAATTTTTTAAAAAACGCTTTGTATTTAGTTTGAAAAAAATAAATTGAAATTGTAATGCATTTGTATTTCCATTTCTTGCAAATAAATATTTTTCTTAAATAGTAAAATGTTGTCCAGTCTTTAAAATCCTGGTAATGTGGTTTTAAAAGCATTTTGCCCTTTTCCAAAACACGGACTTATGCACGTACATCTAATCAATCTCTCCTGATTATCTGGTCAACGTGAAAGCAGCAGCTCAAACTAGCAATTTGTATATTATGTGGTGCTAAATCCAAGCCAAGAAATGTAATTGTTTTTTTCAGTCAGTGACAGGAAGAGAAATCGTTTTCTCCAGAGATTTCACTAGCCTGACTGCTATTTGCGTTGCCTCCTCCAACTATCCCCTAACTAGACTCAAAGGTCTCTGGCTTTGATTTTGCTTTCCTGGTCTCTGGATGCCTGAGAATGAGACTTTGAACTCGAGCCAGAAAGGAATGCTCCTTCTTCACGTGAACAGTTGAGGAGGAGGCCTAACACACATTCATGCTCCAAAAACTCGGATGAAATAGTTGATAAAGGTCAGTGCACTCGAGCAGAATAATCATCATTCCATTGCACTCTCTGGATCCCAATGTAATTTTCTCTACTCAGAGAAAGTAGGGGCTTCGTTTAATCTCAGAGCGAGTGCTCCAGGATGTTAAAGTCCAAGGGTACGGACCATGTCCACCTGGGGTGGGGGGGAGAAGACTCCCCCTACCTCTCTGCAGCATTCCTAGCCTTCTTTGGTCTTGGAGGTGTATTAATGCCCATGGCCTTTCCCTCTGAGCAACTTGACCTTCTCTTCTATTCCTACATATGTGGTATATCCCTGCAGAAGAACCTGTTATGGAAGCCCCTTGCTGGACATGATCTTCCCAGTTGGGGGTGGAGGGAATAAACATGGATTTAAGAACACTGGGTGTTAATCGTACCTTTTTATTTACTATATTGCTAATGCTTTAACATCTAGCGCCTTCCTGGGCCTGGAGGGCCTGCCCTTTGCTCCCAGTTCCTGGCCTGTGAGCAGGCCATTCATCCACAAACCAACCACACAGAGGCCACACCCCAACCACCTCCGTTATGGGCTCTTACACACTTCTGATGCTCTGGGCCACTATACCCTGCTCTAATCACCCCAGAGCCAGGTGCCAACACAAATGGACACAGTCCTTATATCCCAGACCTTGATGAAATTAATCAAATTAGCCAATTCTAAACCTGCTTACCTTGCCTTGCTTGTTCTTGGATAAACCACAATAAAGGCTTTTGCCCTCTCTCTGTCTGCTTGCTAGCTGACTCTGGGACTCCTCCATGTGGCCCCATGTAAGGTAACCTGACCCTCATCTTGGAAATCATGGGTAACAAGTTCTCTTTGCAATGGAAGTTGTCTCCCAATCTGCTGGCCTCACCAAACCTGAACTATAATAAAACCTACATTCTAAAACACATTCCTGAGGCATTAATATGTCACATTAGAGGCAGATCCCAGACTCTCAGGCATCTGGTGCTTCACACATGGGCCTGTTGTGACTTAAATTGTGTAACACACATTTATTGTACAATTCATGCTGGTTGTCACTTCTGTTCCAGAGAAGAAAAGTGAGATCTATGGGGAACTGTGTGCTTGTTGCTGGGAAAAGAAATCAGGTGTCTAAATTCCTAATCCTGTGCTTAGGTTCCAGCACAGATCATGCCCGACTTTTCTGCAATTGAGGCAACAGAAGCAGGGAAACACTGACATGCAGGGTGTGGGATCTGAGTGGGACCCAGGAGATGGACACCTGTGGCCTCTTGAACTAGTTGTACGATTAACTTGCTGGCCTTGGGGGAAGGAGATGCTTACTGAGTATATGTTCTGCACCAGGGGGTCTTTGTATATTATCTGTGTTCTTAATTTCTCCAAAAATTTTATGGAGGATATATAATTTTCCCCTTTCACAGCCGTAGAAACTGTTTCAGAAAAAGTCATAAATCCACCAAGGTCATATAGGAAACTAGGTACAGACAAAAGGTGTGAGTCTAGTATTCTTTAAGTCTGTAGTCTGAACTATATCCTATGCTGGATATAGTATATAGCTGGAGCTTAAAGATTTTTACCCATAGAAATAAAGGTGTTAACCTACATCAGAGGTTGCAAACCCTCAGCTCATACACAGTTGTTTATGGTTTAATCCTGGGCTGTTTCAAACATTTTAAAATCATTGGTTAATATTTTAAGATTCAAATATTTAAGAAAAATAAGATACCAGATTTCTGTCTTAAACTCTTGAGTGACAGCAACTTCAGGAGCTGAGTAGAACTTGAGATGCAGGCCATCTCTGGGTCGCTACGTTCACCCACACCTAGGCTGGTTCACTCATTCTGATACTTCCCTGGGCCCTCTGTCACCTGGATTCACAGCTTCTGGACTTTATGGTGGCTGACTCTTTGGAGGTTACAATAAAGGAAAAAATAGGTGGTGAACTAGGAGGTGCAGAGGGTGGTTAGTTTCACCAAGGGACAGGAAATAGGAATCCCGGGCAGGGGGGAAGGCAGGCTGTGAGTTGTAGAGGCATCTGCACATCAGTTGACCCTCTTTTCATGATAGTCCAAATTTTTGCAGCCGGAGGTCTGTTTTTGCTCTTGGAGATAAATCTTCATTAATCTAAAAAAATTGTAGTAAAAATATCTGATTAAGGGGGCTGGAGTTGTGGCTCAGTGATAGGTTGCTTACCTGGCATGTGTGAGACCCTGGGTTCAATCCTCAGCACTGCATATAAATAGATAAAAGATCCATTGACAACTAAAAAGTATTTTTAAAAAATCTGAATGATCTCATTTGCACAAGACCTGGTGCTCTACCCAGAGCTCTTTCTCATGTCCCCTTATACACCTGTTAATCATCAAAAGGAGGGTGGGACAATCATCATTGTCCCTGATGCTCAGCTCAGGATATAGGGCCCATAGAGACATGTCCGCCTCCACATTTGGTTATGTGGTAAGTAAGTGCAGGGAAGAACCACAAACCAGTTTTCCTGATGTCCCTCCTAGCACCATTTCCATTAGCCATGCTTCACCTGGGCAGAGGACACTCTAGCTGTCCTTGTCCTATGAGCCTTCAGTGGAATTACATATATCCAAGATGCCATTGCCATGCACTTTTTCTTGGTGTCTTGGTTGAAGCACAGGATTTGGGGACACTCCCAAAGTCATCTCTCTTGAAAGGGAAAAAGAAGGAAGTGATTTCCAGCAATACTTGGTTTCACCATTGGAGAGGATGATTGCCCTTGGTCCCTCATCACTGGATGGCCACGGGCAGGTGGCATGAGTTGATGTCATCTCCCAAACGGGCACCAGCTGTGGCTCCATCTCTTGGCAATTTTAAAGCAGAGTTCTGGCCCCGCGAGGAGGGCATGTGTTCTCCTCCTCCCTCTCTGCTGTTGTTTTTAGATGAAGGGACAAAAATATCCACCGAGGAATACCATGAGAGCTGCCAGAGAGGCTGCCGTGCTGTTCTCTGAGAAGCCTGTTTCAAAATGTTGAATGTTTCTTAAATGAGAAGTCTTTGGGAATTGGGCAGCCAGAGCCTTCACAACTAATGGCCTTCCCAGCACCTCTGCAAAACAGATGGTAAGTTCATTTCCTAGTGGGTCTAGAAGCTTCCATAAGCCTGAGTGGTTCAAAGGGGGAAAAAAAACACAATCAAACAACAACAAAAAAAACTTCCCTGAAAAGACAGGTTGTAAATGTGGAACCACCTACACTTAGAGCCTCTGGGACAGAAAAGGTGCCCTCAGTCCCCATGGTGTTCCTTTCTTGTCGCAGTCACCTGAGAGTTTACATGCTCTCGACTCACAGCTTTTCCTCATGGTTCGTGGTAGTTTAAACGCATATGGATGCAGACAAGAAAATACAGTTAGGTGGTATTTGCAGTATTATCACAAAAATAATCCCACGAGGTAGGACTCCAAGGGCAATACTTGTCCAGAGATGTGAGGAGACATGGGAGGGACTTCCAAGAAGCCAGTCAAGCTGGGGAGAGCACAGCCAGGGAAGGGAAGGAGCTCCGGAGAATGCTGCTCAAACCTCTGGTGAAATTTTCCTGCAATTCAATTAAAAAAAACAAAACAAAACAAAAAAAACATTATTGCTGTGATATCATACGTAGCTTTGAAAAGTTAGAGTACTAATAAGCTTTTGTTGAAATGTGGTGGCCCGTTGTTCTCTTTCCATCCACAGTTTCTACATCTTGGAAGTAACCAATTTCAATTTCTTCTCATACATCTGAATAATGTACTTATGCTGCTAATACTTGATAATCGATTTTGAAATCTAGCATTAGCTTCTTATGATGTAGGAGAATTGTGAGATTTCTAATGCACACTGTTCTGGTTTGATGTGCGGTGTCTCCCAAGTGTTCACGTGAGAGGCAATGCCAGAAGTTTAGAGGGGAAATGATTGGGTTACAAGAGCCTTAACCCAATCGGTGAATTACTCCCCTGATCGGGATTAACTGAGTGGTAATTAAAGGCAGGTGGGGTGAGGCTGGAGGAGGTGGGTCCTGGGGGTGCGTCTTTGGGGTATATAATTTATATCTGGAAAGTGGAGTCTCTCTCTGCTTCCTGATCATCATGTGAACTTCTTCCCTCCACCACAGTCTTCCACCATGTTGTCCTGTTTCACCTTGAGCCCCAGGACTGGAGCCAGCCTTCCGTGGACTAAGATCTCTGAAACTGTGAGCCCTCAAATAAACTTTTCCTCCTCTAAAATCCTTCTTGTCAGGTCTTTTAATCATGACAGTGAAAAGGCTGACTAACTCACACATGTCTCTCCTTGTTTTTCCTATCAGAGTGTTTACATTAGAGGTTGTTTTCTGCTGAGTCACTTCAGGATTAGGGTTCTTTCCTTTTATAAATTTTCTTTTTTAATAGAGCTTCATGGTTATATGTAGTAGTGGGTTCATCCTGACAAACTCATATATATATGGAAGTCCATTTCAGTTCAAGATCCCCCATTTTCCCTCCCTTTTTCCCTCCCATCCTCCCCCTTTCTCCTTCCTCTACTAGACTTCCTTTCACTCATCGTTAATTTGCATTTGGTTCCCTATGTAATCTTATCCTTCCTTCCTCCTTTCTTTTATTTTACCCTCATTTCCACATATGAGAGAAAATATTTGACTCTGAGTTTCTGAGTTTGGTGAATGTCACTTAGCATGATTTTCTCCATTTCCAACTATTTCCTTATCAATTGTCCTCCTTCCTTGGATTAGTAATTGCCTCATTTTATTATTTGGTTCATCTCTGTGTGGGGGTTGTATACTTATATATAATATTTAATATAGAGAGATAATTATGATTATTTATTATGTGTACTCATTTATGATATTAACATAGACAACACCCAAATAAATATATACCAGCTGCTTCATCAGTTTTAGTGCCTACAAATATTATGTTCTCAATATTCAAATGAATGGGTTAATCTGGCTTTTTTTTTTTTTAATACACTCCTCTGAAAAACCTCTAATTACTCACCTCCTCTTTTGTTCTGTTTTACAGCGTCATCCCAGGACTGCTCTTCACCATGGTGCTGGGAAAACCCTTTCCCATTTTGCCCTCTTGGAAATCCTGTTTTCTGGACCACAAGCCTCTTTTTTCTTGGTTTATTCCCTTCTTTCCTTGGATCTCACACTCTAGTGGGCCTAAGAAGGGGGATTGAGGGTAAATTGCTTGATTCTTACTGTTATAGTTAAAGCTTCATCCCCGGGTTTCATAAATTGACTTCCAGACCACTCACGTATAATTGAATCAAGCCTTTATTGAAGCACACCGGTGGCGGCTGACCAGAACATAAAGCTGTTCCCCTGATCAGCCCCGAACAATTGCAAGGGCGCTCTTTATAAGTCTGAAAACCGCAAAAGGGATGTTCGGGGGGGCTAGCCAATGCAAGCAAGCCAGGTTACAGAAGCAGGACAGTGCAGTCAAGCGGAGGGAAGCCTAACCAATCACAGTTAGCCCAGTCACCCCAGTTACAGAAACAATGCTCCATTAGGTAGTTCCGTGTTCTTAAAGGTTTCTATAGCAAAAGGAAAAGAACATCTTGCTCCAGTCATGACTCTTCTACTTGGCATGGTTGTTTTACAGGATGAAGTCACAAAACAAAATGGAGTCACATTTGCTCCTACTATCACATTACAAGTCTCATCATAACAGACTCTACTTTTTTACATAGCTGAGAAAAATCACCTGGGAAAAATCTTCCCTCAGCATTTTTAAGGAATTATTCTATCATTTTCTAGCTTTCAGTGCTATTGTTGAAACATCCAATGTTATTTTAATTTCTGATTTTTTTTTTTTTGGTGGTGGTGCTGAGGTTTGAACCCAGGGCCTCATGCATTCCAGGCAAATGTTCTACCATTGAGCCACATCCCCAGTCCCACAGATTCTTTTTTTCCCTCTGTATTTATTGCCCCCAAATGATGACCTTTTGTTTAATGTATTAAATCTTTTCTTCTGCACAATCATGTCCTTAAATTCTGAGAATATTTTTGAATAGCTTATCTGATTAATTTCCACTCCTGAATTATTGTAATTGTGGGCTGGAACTCTTAATTTTTAAATAATTTTTTTATTGATTTACATCTATTCATTTTCTTTTATAAATTTTAATTTCTTCTACTTTACTTCCCACTTCTTCCACTAAAATTTTGCACCTCATTTTTTTTATGTCAAAGTTCTACAATTTTTTTCTTGCTCATTGCATTCTTGCTGGTTTTAGAAGTAATATCTTCTGTTAATGATAATATTTTAAGACTTATTTTCTGGTTCCTGCTTTGTTTTAATTGTGTTTCCTGGTTTGTTTTGGCCTCTCTTTTTTATATTACCAGCCATCCTCAAAGATCTGAGTGGATAGTGCTCTCCATTCCCATTTGCATGCATCAAAGTGCATTAATGATTACGGTGATTTGTTGTCTTCTGTTTGTGTGTCTGGGTAAGTCAGGATGTTCATTTTCCATTAGTATTTTTTCAAACAGAGCCTAAGGTGGAAAAATCAAGTAGTATGTTTTGACCAGCAATTTTAAAAAGAGAAGCAAAATGAAATGGGAAAGGGTGGAATGGAATTTCACAGAATAAAAGCAAAAATACCAACGAGGGAATGTAATTGTATGCTGATATTCTGGAATCAGAGTGGGCAGGAGAGTCATTCAGTGTGCAGCTTACCTCATCCTTCTGTTCTGGTCCTGTGCCCCACTGCTGCCTACTTTTGTCTCTGGTGGCTTTAGCTGTGTGTGTTCTGCTTTATTTACCTGCTCAGAGAACCTCCAAGAATATTTAAGATGACTCAGTTCTTTTTCTCACCTCATCATTGCCCAATTCTGGGGTTTTAAACTGTTGCAAATACATTTTAATGCGTAGGCAAGATAGTAAATCAGGTATCTGTGACTAATGAGGATCCACTCTACAACTAAAATACTGGATGAAATTGCACAAAAATAGAAAAGAGGCTCAAAATTATGGCATTCTGAAGTCCTTATGTTGTTCAGGAGGAGAGTAGTATACTAATTTTAGTTAAGTTAAACATGCGTTGAAGAGTGAAAAAAATCACGTGTTTCAAAAGAATAAAAGGAATTCTTTGTATTGCAAACAATAACAACCACAAGGTGTCATTTTATTCCATCAAACTAGCAAAAATTAACATCCAATAAAAACAAGTACTGGTGTGCATACTGGGAAACAGAAACACACGTTGCAGGTGGGAGTATAAACTGAGGCAACCATTTGGGGCTGACACTGAGGACCAACAGTCAGGGAATCTCTTTTGCCCTGCTCAAACTTCATTTCCCTTGGATATTGCTTAGCCTTCTTTGGTCTCCGATGTTTTTTGCATTGCTCTAGAGGTTCTTGAGTTTTGGCACAGACAAGGGTGAAGTAGCTCTTTATGTCTAAACAAATAGACATTATTAACAACTCAGAGTTAGCTTTTGACAAAATTTTAAAACAATTTTAACCTGAATTATGGTGCTGTTGGCCCTGAGTTCAATGCCAGTGAATCAAGAATGCAGTGCACAGAGAGAAAAAAGGAAGAGGAAATGCCAGTCTGTATGTGAGGCCACTCTAGAAAGTGTTAAAATAACATCTATAGTGAGTGATGAAAAAGATAGAAAAGCAGGTAAGTTTGTGAATTATGAGATATTGACTGAGTTTTGAAATGCATAGTGGACAGCATTGTTGTGGAACGGAAAGGCAAGGAAACTTATGGTATTACCCAGGGTCAGAAAAATGTTACAGCCTTCTCAGCTGCCTGACTGTCTCACACATTTCAAAAGGTGGTAAGGCATGAAAAATGTTAAACTTGCATTCGAAGAAAGAACTGCAGTTCTGGAGGTTGCATAACAATTTTTAACACACTAAGTGTCATACAGGGAAGGGTTAACTGGAGGATCTGGTTCCAAGCTTTGATTTGTCAGGCTGCAGACATTGCTTAGTAGTGGAGTGCTTGCCTGGCATGCAGAAGACCCACGGTTTGATCCCCAGCACTGAAACACAAGCAAGATGAAACCCACAAAGCTTTAATTTCTCTGTGATTGCATTTTATTCTAATTCTTAGTTTGTAGTTTTGCTGGGTATATAATTTTAGGTTGACAGTTTGTTTTGATACCACTGTCCTCAGTGTTCTGATTTTCCTGTTGAAAAATCAGTTTTTGTATGACTTGATTATCTGAAGATAATCTGGCTTTTTTCCTTCTGGCTATTTTGGGATCTTTTCTTGGGCTCATAACAAGCTCAATGATATGTTTATTAACCTCACTTGAGATTCATTGTGTTTCTTTTATGTAAGGATTGGTTCATTTTCTTGATTTTTTTTTTGAAATTATCTTCCATTATCTTCTCAAATATTGCCTCTTCCCCTTTCCTTCTACCAAATTGTTTGGAGCTCTGACTACTTTTTTTTTAAGAGGATTTTTTTTTAATTTTTTATTGTTGGTTGTTCAAAACATTACAAATTTCTTGACATATCATATTCCACACTTTGATTCAAGTGGGTTATGAACTCCCACCTTCACCCCATACACAGATTGCAGAATCACATCAGTTACACATCCATTGATTTACATATTGCCATACTAGTGTCTGTTGTGCTCCGCTGCCTTTCCCATCCTCCACCATCCCCCCTCCCCACCTCTCCCCTCTCCTCCCCTCCTCTCTCTCTACCCCCTCCACTGTATAACCCTGAGGGTCTCCTTCCATTTCCATGCAATTTACCTTCTCTCTCCCTTTCCCTCCCACCTCTCATCCCTGTTAAATGTTAATCTTCTTCTCCTGCTCTTCGTCCCTACTCTGTTCTTAGTTACTCTCCTTATATCAAAGAAGACATTTGGCATTTGTTTTTTAGGGATTGGCTAGCTTCACTTAGCATAATCTGCTCTAATGCCATCCATTTCCCTGCAAATTCTATGATTTTGTCATTTTTTAATGCAGAGTAATACTCCATTGTGTATAAATGCCACATTTTTTTTATCCATTCGTCTATTGAAGGGCATCTAGGTTGGTTCCACAGTCTTGCTATTGTGAATTGTGCTTCTATGAACATCGATGTAGCAGTGTCCCTGTAGCATGCTCTTTTTAGGTCTTTAGGGAATAGACCAAGAAGGGGAATAGCTGGGTCAAATGGTGGCTCCATTCCCAGCTTTCCAAGAAATCTCCATACTGCTTTCCAGATTGGCTGCACCAATTTGCAGTCCCACCAGCAATGTACAAGTGTACCCTTTTCCCCACATCCTCGCCAGCACTTGTTGTTGTTTGACTTCATAATGGCTGCCAATCTTACTGGAGTGAGATGGTATCTTAGGGTGGTTTTGATTTGCATTTCTCTGACTGCTAGAGATGGTGAGCATTTTTTCATGTACTTGTTGATTGACTGTATGTCCTCCTCTGAGAAGTGTCTGTTCAGGTCCTTGGCCCATTTGTTGATTGGGTTGTTTGTTCTCTTATTGTCTAATTTTTTGAGTTCTTTGTATACTCTGGATATTAGGGCTCTATCTGAAGTGTGAGGAGTAAAGATTTGTTCCCAGGATGTAGGCTCCCTATTTACCTCTCTTATTGTTTCTTTTGCTGAGAAAAAACTTTTTAGTTTGAGTAAGTCCCATTTGTTGATTCTAGTTATTAACTTTTGTGCTATGGGTGTCCTATTGAGGAATTTGGAGCCCGACCCCACAGTATGTAGATCGTAGCCAACTTTTTCTTCTATCAGACGGCGTGTCTCTGATTTGATATCAAGCTCCTTGATCCATTTTGAATTCACTTTTGTGCATGGCGAGAGAAAGGGATTCAGTTTCATTTTGTTGCATATGGATTTCCAGTTTTCCCAGCACCATTTGTTGAAGATGCTATCCTTCCTCCATTGCATGCTTTTAGCCCCTTTATCAAATATAAGATAGTTGTAGTTTTGTGGATTGGTTTCTGTGTCCTCTATTCTGTACCATTGGTCCACCCGCCTGTTTTGGTACCAGTACCATGCTGTTTTTGTTACTGTTGCTCTGTAGTATAGTTTGAAGTCTGGTATCGCTATACCGCCTGATTCACATTTCCTGCTTAGCATTGTTTTTGCTATTCTGGGTCTTTTATTTTTCCATGTGAATTTCATGATTGCTTTCTCTATTTCTACAAGAAATGCCGTTGGGATTTTGATTGGCATTGCATTAAACCTATAGAGAACTTTTGGTAATATCGCCATTTTGATGATGTTAGTTCTGCCTATCCATGAACAGGGTATATTTTTCCATCTTCTAAGATCTTCTTCTATTTCTCTCTTTAGGGTTCTGTAGTTTTCATTGTATAAGTCTTTCACCTCTTTTGTTAGGTTGATTCCCAAGTATTTTATTTTTTTTGAAGATATTGTGAATGGAGTGGTTGTCCTCATTTCCATTTCAGAGGATTTGTCGCTGATATACAGGAATGCCTTTGATTTATGCGTGTTGATTTTATATCCTGCCACTTTGCTGAATTCATTTATTAGCTCTAATAGTTTCTTTGTAGAGCCTTTTGGGTCTGCTAGGTATAGAATCATATCATCTGAAAATAGTGATAATTTAAGTTCTTCTTTTCCTATTTTTATGCCTTTAATTTCTTTCGTCTGTCTAATTGCTCTGGCCAGTGTTTCGAGAACTATGTTGAACAGAAGTGGAGAGATAGGGCATCCCTGTCTTGTTCCCGATTTTAGAGGGAATGCCTTCAGTTGTTCTCCATTCAGAATGATGCTAGCCTGAGGCTTAGCATAGATTGCTTTTACAATATTGAGGTATGTTCTTGTTATCCCTAGTTTTTCTAGAGTTATGAACATAAAGGGATGCTGTACTTTGTCGAATGCTTTTTCCGCATCTATCGAGATGATCATATGGTTCTTATTTTTAAGTCTATTGATGTGGTGAATAACATTTATTGATTTCTGTATATTGAACCAGCCTTGCATCCCAGGGATGAATCCTACTTGATCATGGTGCACAATTTTTTTTGATATGTTTTTGTATCCGATTTGCCAGAATTTTATTGAGGATTTTTGCATCTAGGTTCATTAGAGATATTGGTCTGTAGTTTTCTTTCTTTGAAGTGTCTTTGTCTGGTTTAGGTATCAGGGTGATGTTGGCCTCATAGAATGAATTTGGAAGTTCTCCCTCTTTTTCTATT